ACTCACATAGGTCCAACTCCCTGACGAAACCTTCTACAATCCAAACACACACACACACACACACACACACACACACACACAATACACAGCACACACAACACACAGCACACACAAACACACACACCCACACAACACCCACACAGCCATCCACATCAATATTCAGAGAGAAAGACCCACAGTGGATTGTTAAACAAGGGCATTCAAAAACTCACTTGTAATAGCCCTCATCAGGCTTGATGGTCACCTCGAAGTGCAGTAAGTTGTCCTTGCCAAGAGGGAAATGTATAGAGGTGGTCTTTGCCAAGTTCAATTCGCTGATATCTGCAAGACCACAAGTAGGGAAGGAAAAAATAGAGAGTGGAAAAACAAAGAAACAGCATGTGAATAACGCATCGATTAGCACTGCGTACTGAACCGGGAAAGGAGCCAGACTCTGACAGTAGGAGCTAGTGGTCCGTAGTGGTGCCCAGGGCATGTATGTCCATCAGCAGCCAAACCCAACAACATCTTAAAACGCCTATACAGGCCTGCGTCGGCCTCCAATGGACTACACTCGCGGCGGTTATACAACTATAAGTTCCCAATTTTATTTAAGAGAACTCCCGCTAAGATAACAGATCCAGCGGTGGATGCTGCTACATGAGCTTCGTATCGACCCCATACAGACCGCTGAAGTGTTCCCCACGGACAAGTGCTCCACCAAAGCCAAACCTATAAAGTTCTACAGACCTGCTGGCTGCCTCCTATGGAGAACACCGACTGTTCTACAGATGATAGACTCCAGACGGGCTATCATTACACCATGTCGATGGTCAAACCCCCAGGATTACCAGTCACAGCGAATGGAGACCTGGACAAGGCCCCTTGTCCCAATGGGTTTCCATCTACCGACAAGCCTTGACCCACCCAAACAGCATTCAGACTTTGGATCAGGGCTCTACCAATCATGTATGTCAACAACTGGGCTGGAAAAGAGCTTCGCTTGACGTAGACTTCGAATGAGCCTCTCCGAAAAGTTATGGAAGGCAGGACGGGCGGATTTTGTTTTCGTTCGGGGCTGGGCCTAGTGCCACCCCACAGAACGGGACATTTTTTTTTTCCGGTCCTTCAGGCACCCTGTCCCGAGCCTCCGAAATTTTAGAAGAGGCTCAATCGCCATTGTCAACTTGGCTGGGGCCATGTACAGGTCCTTTAAGCTGACCCAACCAGCACTTCGGATAAATCAACATCTCATCGAGAGACATCCAGCTAGGCAGGCTAGCATACAGATCAGGTAGGGTAACATACAGACCATGATGGACACAGCGCAGGATCAGGCACCAACCAGTGGACTTTATCCGGATCCAACATAGATTGGCAACAAGCGGGATAGAAAAGAGTGACATGACATTTCCTGAGCTGAAGCAGAGTAAGCCCATGGTTATGCCAAGTCAGGGACAGGGTACCTATGCTGCAATAAGGGCCATGCTGCTGGATCTTACTATTCTGTCTCTGTTGCTGGTTACCGCCGGGCACAACGTTAGGGTATCAACTACCGTCTTCACCCGAAAACAACGCCCGGGCGTTATATTCGTTACGCCCGGGCGTTATATTCAGTAAATTGGTGGCAACTTCGGTGGGGCCCCAAAATTCCGAAAAAATAAAATAAAAAAATTCTGTAAAAAAAATATGTTGTCCAGAATTGCAATGCGACCATCTTTTGACTGAGGGTCACTACAGAGATCCTTATAAACTCGGAAATAAAAACTAAAAACAAAAAATCAAACCGAAATATGCCCCTTGCAAGTCAAAACCCCTTAGAACCCCCTTTAAAACCCATACATACCCACCTCCCCACCCTCTACAAGGCAGTCTGCCCATGGAACATACAAATATAACGCCCGGGCCTTCTATTCAAATATAACGCCCGGTCGTTATATTCGTAGGGGCTTTCTATTTGAGAAAAAGAGTAAGAACGAAAATCTGACATTTATCTGACATTTTTCGGGTAAGTTTAATATAACGCCCGGGCGTTATTTTTGGGTGTAGAGGGTAGCGCCATAGAAGACTGGTGAAGTCAGAATGTAATAGGTCACAGCAAGACGGTGCGACAGCTGTAGAGGAAGGCCAGAAATGGGACTTCGCACAAACACAGAGAGAGGTACAGAAGAAATCAGCGCGGGGCACTCGCACCTGGATGACACCCACAGATCACGAAGTGGTCCAATGGATGACACCCACAGATCACGAAGTGGTCCAACGAAAAAAGGAGCACAACCGCAGATGTTGAAAGATAAGCAGCGTCCTTCGGGGCATCACTTAAAATTTGAACTTACTGTAATACAGAAGAGATCAGCGCGGGGCCCTTGCACCAGGATAACACCCACAGATCACGAAGTGGTCCAATGAAAAAAGGAGCAAAACCGCAGACGTTGAAAGATCAGCAGCGTCCTTCGGGACGTCACTTAAAATTTGAACTCACTGTAATACAGAAGAGATTAGCGCGGGGCCCTTGCACCAGGATGACACCCACAGATCGCGAAGTGGTCGAACAAAAAAAAGAGCAAGACCGCAGATGTTGAAAGATCAGCAGCGTCCTTCGGGGCATCAGTTAAACTTCGAGAGATACAGAGGAAATCAGCGCGGGCCCCTTGCACCAGGATGACACCCACAGATCGCGGAGAGAGAGGAAATCAGCGCGGGCCCCTTGCACCAGGATGACACCCACAGATCGCGGAGAGTGGTCCAACCAAAAAAAAAAGAGCAAGCAACAGCTTCACAGCTAGCGATCAATTGCGGGGCCTCCCTCCCCAGGTGACACTTCGAATGACTAAGCGACGATGACGCGATGAATGCAGATGACGCCGACGGACAAGTCGATAGCAACCCTCGAACGGAAAGATAAACAAAAAGAGATCAACAGGTTCACATAATAAACAACCAATCAACGCTCCCATTTCTCGAGAAGAGAATCTACCGCACTAGCTTCTTCAGACGGAGCGAAGCGTTCGATTGGAAAAACAGTTACAAAGAAAAAGGGAAGGTGCATAACGAGGGACGTCATAGCTCCCACAAAAGTAATCACAATTAGAGCCTTGTGTGCGTATTCAAATAAGGGAGAACACCTTGCCATCATGAAAACACCTGCTGTTACCATAGTAGCTGCATGAATCAGAGCTGATACTGGGGTAGGGCCCTCCATAGCGTCCGGTAACCAAGTATGGAGTCCTATTTGTGCGGTGTACAACGAAAAGAAAACAACTTACACAGCCTCGATCACAGCGCCTCGCGCGCATTCCTCGCCCCACTACCCGGCGTAGATTTCGTTAATTGAAAGTTCCATCGCATCATAGGAGATAGCTACCCCCTTCCCTCTGCCACGGAAAGAGGACCTTAAACAATGAACCCCACCCATATTTCTTATTTCACGGACACACGGATCATCAGCTATGTAACAATCACTGCTGTTCAGCCGCACCTGGCGTCAAGATGGATTACGAATCAAGGCACCAGAACAGTTCTGCAGGCTATCCGTCGACGGCTTGCCCATCTGATCAGGCGGTGACGAAACAATTCCGCCACCGCTTCCTCTCCTCTCTCCTTCATGATCTCTCAAAACAGAGAGTACGGGACCTGAAACAATTATTCCAGTATTTTATCCTTCTAATAACGGAATAGGATACGGCCCATAACGTTTCCTTCACACCCTATCACCTTCGTCATTATCACCATCCATCCCCCTCATCGTCGTCATCATCAACATCCCCACAATCTTCATCGGCCGCCTTCACTCCCCACGATAGATTATCATCAACGATCCGCATCATCGTCAGCATCCTCCCCGTCACTCTAGTATTAGCAATCGCGGCCACAATGACGACCCCAATCCCACTACCCGCACCCTTACACCGATGGAGATGATCCTCCTCTCTCTCTCTCTCTCAGATACATATTCGCGTCTACAGGTGGTGCATAAGTGAACGAGTCACATATCGATACGCCGCACGCGCCACCATCAATCGTCTCAGCTATGATCTACACTGATCCGCCCCTTCTCATCCCAGCAGATTACCGAGCTGATGTGGACAACAGAGTTCTACATCGTTTGATTTTTCGACTGACAACTTGAAAGTTTAGCCTGGGCATATCAGACACGTAGATCCCTTCCCCAATTCAATTAATTAGAATTTTAATTTTTTACATCGCGGCTAGGCTGCTGCTGTAAGCAAAGGTACTACGGATCCTCTGCGATCCGCCATTCATTCATTTCGGTCGACTTCCCCAGTATTACCTACAGGTTGTGCATTTACGAGATGTCGTTTCGCCTCCTGTGCCCAACACTAATCTCGTCGTTTTATTAAGTATTGTCTATTTTGCAATCGGCCGTTAACACCTGTTGAAAGCCCCTCCTGCTAAGTGCTTTCTCGTACATACATGACGACAAACAGACAGCGACATCCTGACAGACGCGTGGTCCTTTCCTTCGTCTTCTCCACATGCACCGTTCGCCCTTCTCTTCTCTTGCAGAAATTTTCCCGGGCACGAAACTAATGCATCACCACGTCAAAAAAAAGCATCACCACGTCATCGCACTAAGGAAATTCGCCATCAACGTGTTGAAACACGCGCCTGCTAAGTACTTCTCCTAGGTACACGACCGAAAAGGAAATTGCCATGACCCCGTTCACTTGTTGAGACACGCGCCTTCTCAGTACTTCTAGGAACACGACCGAAAAGGAAATTGCCATGACCCCGTTCACTTGTTGAGACACGCGCCTTCTCAGTACTTCTCGTGGATACACGACGAAAAAGGAAATTGCCACGACCCCGTTCGCCTGTTGAAACACGCGCCTGCTAAGTACTTCTCCTAGGTAAACGACGAAAAAGTAAACTGCCATGACCCCGTTCACCTGTTGCGACACGCGCGCACCTTCTGAGTACTTCTCATGGGTACACGACGGAAAAGGAAATTGCCATAACCCCGTTCACCTGTTGAAACACGCGCCATCTGAGCACTTCTCGTAGGTACCCATAAAAGGAAATCGCCATGACACCGTTCATCTGGTGAAACACGCGAAGGCGTACTTCTGATAGGTGCACGACGAAAGACAGACAGAGCGGCAGACTGACAGACGCGAACTTGTTTCCTTCCTCTTTTTTTCACACAGTCAGCTCTTACAGTGACCCCGGCCGGTCCCTAATGCACCAGCACGTCATCGCACAGATGAAATTGCCATCAACCCCTCCCCGTGGCAGCCAAGTGAACATCCCTCGGCGGGACGCCCGCTAAGAGGTAACGCGAGCCCCACTACCGGCTGGAAAGACCCCGCGCACGCATTCACCCGCGTTTCGTTACGTATCCGTATCTTTCAAAAACCATATACCTACCCTACACATAAGAGGGCAAGTCGCAAAAACCAACATGTGGCCGCATACTTCTCATTTAGTAGACTCATGCACGCAAAGTAAGACAGCAGCAGCAGCCAGGAATGCGGAAATGGAACAGAAACCAAAAATAAAATGGAACAGAGTTTCCATATGAACGACTTCGGCGCGTTCGCACTTCCGAATTTCTCACTGCAACCGCCAGAACAGCACACCACTTGCGGAATTCCAATTGCAAGTCTTCAAATGATATGGGGTTTACATACACGTACACCATAAAGTACCGAGGATGCACGCGTGCACATCGCATCCACATATATATTGTCACACTGGAAATCGGAGCGCAAAGGCGGAAAAAGACAAAACAAGAAAAAGAAAAAGAAGGAAAGCCCCACCTGTTCGTCACCTCTTACGTACAAGGCCAGCCACATATATATACAAGGATGAGTACAGTACTCGCGTGTGTATCGTACGATACGAACTACTATACAATCCGATAGGGGAGGAGTCAGATGATCATCTCGTCCGTCTTCCACAGACTGATCCAGAGCCTTGCGTGTGGAACGTACAGAGCACGACGATGGCGGAATGGCACACGCATGTGCTTGTTGACAAGCGTCAGAAATTCAAAACCTATTGGATATACAACAACAGCCTCAGGAGGTGGATAGCCCCAACCGAAGAAAATGACAGGGCGAGAGAGAGAGCAACAAGACATCCCGTTCGCCAAATACTGATTAGGACAGGCACACTAACTAACTAATCCCTCGCGAGCGCAAAAATAGCAGGCCGTACGCATAGAACCACGAAACGTTGTATGAGGGAGGGGGCGGGTCGGGGAACATCTTTGCGAAACGAGCATAATCACCGCGTAAGTGCCAAACGCGGACACACAAGCACCGAACATAAATCGAAAATACATACACGCACGGAGTATACTCGGTGGACACGCAAGAGAGACAGAGAGGGAAAACTCGGTGGCTTGCAGTCATGCGATAACGTGAGAGACAATTCATACATAGGTGCCATGTAGGCTCCACCAAATATAAAGCGTAAGTGACCACCGTAATAAAGAACATGAGAGAAACTGTGTCATGAGCCTTCACTGCGCAATTCTTTCCCAGGTACATGATAACGTACACAACCCATAGTAAGGTACATGATAGCGTACACAACCCATAGCACTGCGTAGCATCTCTTATCGACCTCTTTACTACATCAACATCACGCATCGCTCTCCAAGATACGTCTGTTTCCTACTCTGTCTCTATACTCTCTCCACTTTCCCGGTCAGTCAACATCAACAATTCGGTTCAATCGGCTTTACACGGTTCTTCACGCCGATGGCCATCATCAACGATAACGAAGGCGCGAGACATACTAGTAAGTCACCCTTGCACATGATTCCACAATAATACCCCAGATTGAGACAGGAACCCCACAAAATATACGATGCCCGGGATCGGAATAGAAATCACCGTCGCGCATGACTACTAGTAACGATAACGAGCTTCCCCTTCCTTCCAGAAATTTGGAAGGAAAAAACGTTTCCAGGACATCGAGAAGAGATGAAAGAGATGGGAGGGGTCCCAGGATCGAACCTCCCAGGGGAGATTTCGTGAACATACCGTCGACAACGACACAAAAGCAAACGTAATCAGACAACAAACATGAAGTACAAGCGCGGGGCACAAAATAAACGCCAAGCGCTCAACAAACAGAGGGTAACTACAACAACATACTATATCATCGCCATCATGCAACGGCCGGGAGCCTTCCATCTCTCCCCTGCTCATCCTTTTCCCCCTCCTCCCCGACTTCCACCAACGAAACTCCCCATGAGTCGATGGCCTCCATCACTGGTAGCGGCCCAGTGCCGATCTCCAGTCGCCATCGCAGTAACCCACGACCTTTCGCTCGTGAAGGTCCCCCAGCACCATCCCTCGTTTCTTGGTCCAGCATAACGACCCCCACCCCATCGGAGAATTCTTGGGGATCCCTCTCCACCCAGGTCCTGTCCCGGCACCCGTGTCCCACCGCTTCGGGGAGAGACGGAGAACGAAAGCCAAAAAGCAAAGTCGCTCTCAACACCAAACACACACAAGAAGTAACAAGACTGCGATACCCGTACAGCTTCCACCTCTCATCTCACCAATGCAAACACGGCAGAGCTCCTGCTTCACTCACCTGCCCTGACATATGACCATCGACAAGAAATGCAAGGTCCGTGCCGAAGCATCTTTCGGCCCCCATCCGTCACACTCCCATCCCCACCAGACAGACGCCCTCCCCCACCCCTTCTTTACGCTCCCATTCCAACCAGCTTCCAAGGCCACCCGCCGGCCGCCAAGCCTCGCCCTTCACTTCCCTACCCGTGCCTTTCTTTTGAACGGGTAAGACAATTTAACTGAAGAGCACAGACGTACATAGCACGGGAGAATACCGAACTCCTTTTGTGCACTTAAAACCAGAGGTGGATCGTTGATGGATAGATAGATAACCTC